ATTTCACTAGCAAACAGTTCACAGTTGACAGTTTTTTTTAACAGAAAACTGTTAAACAGAGCATCTACTGCGTGAGAATGAGAGATAATGGATCTACTTTCACTTTCGCTCTTTACTTGAAACCTTTACGCACAGACATCAATTAGTCTATAAATAATTAATTGTGTTTGTTAAGCGCAAATATTTGTTTCAAAACTATTTCTAAATTCAGTTCTAATTTCCAGCAAACGAATAAATGAACAATAATAACAAAATGTGCTCAAAAACCTGAGTTATATCCTAAAACACATGCTGTGCCCCATATGGTCTAAAACCTGACAGGTGGGCAAATCTAAGCTTGTTTTTAATAAAACAAATATAAATATGGATATAATAAATAATACTGCTAATAATAATAACATTATACAAAAGCAAATTGTTATGAATGAACTGAAAAAGCCTCCCGAGATGAAGAAGACATGAAAGCAGTGATTTTTCATATTTATGTAGGCTAGAAAATAATGTTTTGTAATATTTTATTCCATTATATTTATATCCTATATCTATTCTTATTATATCCTATATATATCCTTAATACTTAAATTTTTTTCATATGTAAAGATATTTGCCTATTGCTCTCTTGTGTGTATTAAGCAGTGTGTAAGCGAGGTGCAACTCTGCGCTGGAGTTTAGACCGGGTTAGTTTTGGTCTAATGAAAAATCTATTATAGTTTCTCAAAATAGCAACGCGCCAGCGGTCCGCCTCAGAACGCCTCCCTTTTTAGACCAGAACACCTATGGGCGCACAAAGGAGCGCTAATGCATTTGCTATTTAAACAGCGTAGCGCAACACCTCAAAACCACTCTTGCGCCAAGCTGAAACTACCAAAAGACTATTGCGCCGCGCCTTGCGCCACACTGTGCCGGGTGTATTATAGGGCCCATACAGTCAGGTACACAACATTACTGTGTGACTCGGGTGATACTTCCGGGTTTCTTCCCACCGCAGCCTCGATTTCGCTTTAAAAATGGCGTCCGCGTGAAATTAGTCTATAAGGTCAATAGCCTCTTTAAATGCTGCATTGGTATGGATGCAAATTGTTACCTTTCTTGGTGTGAACATGACTTTAGACCAGGGCTCACCAAACTTGTTCCTAGAGGACCGGTGTCCTGCAGATTTTAGCTCCAACCCTAATCTAACACACCTGAAGAAGCTAATCAAGGTCTTACTAGGTATACTTGAAACACCCAGGCAGGTGTGTTGAGGCAAGTTGGAGCTAAACCCTGCAGGGCAACGAACCTCCTGGAACGGGATTTGGTTGACCCCTGCTTTAGACTATCTTGCTCCTCTAGTTGCTGTCCTGCTCCTCCATGAGAGATGAATTCACAGAATTCACGTTCCTCTCCTGCCGTGCTGACACGAGTCCACTCCACAATGTGAACGAAATACAAAATACCACGAAATAATCAGCTCTTTTAGTCAAACGATAACATAAAACACCAACTCCTGACAGAGCGTACCTTTGTCCAACATCTGTCAGGACTCGCTACTTTCATGCGGACTGTTAACTATTCACATACTGGGTTTCCTAAGTTCTAACAGTGTGCAACAACACACAGTGCTCAACATAATTGTGTACACCCTGTTATGAAACATCCTGTTTTTATCCATTTCTAAGTGTATATATGTCATATATTTATGTGCAATTGAATAAAACAGACTTATTAAATGGATATATTTATTAAAATAACATTTTAGTCACTGAGTATCTTTAGAAATAGATAGATAATAAATTTAAAGGGCAAATAGTTTACCCCTTTTTATGATTTAATATTAATTATGGTTCTGATTGTGATTTTATGTATTATAATGTGTTAAAAAGTGTAATTTAGGGGCCTGTACACAGGTTGCTGTTTTAGGGGCGTGTACACAGGTTGCTGTTTTAGGGGCGTGTACACAGGTCGCTGTTTTAGGGGCGTGTACACAGGTCGCTGTTTTAGGGGCGTGTTGCTTCACATGAAGATTAGTTTCAAATTCCCGCCCGACGTAACAAGGGGGCGGAGCCAGGAGCTCCCTGGCTCTGTGTTTGGCAACAGACAGACAGACAGAGAGAAGCAGCATGAGTGAGAGGATCAGCATTCAGCCGTACATGTACGACTCGGACACAAGAACAAGCAGAGAGTACACAATCATTTGTGTTTTGTACAGTTTTACAGCCAACTGTGTGCTAGTTTCAAGTGCCGAGCTTATACACCGAGACTAATAACTATGCACACTGAATTAACTTTGACCGAGGCACTGGATGACCCTCTTAGAGCCGTGACACGGCACACCAGACACGCACATTAACATGTTATTTAAAACTGAAACCATTCAGATGCCGCTCTGTGGTGTGGCAGAAATATGAAGTGTCCTGAATTGAGGCTGGGCGCCGCAGACAGCTGCCAACTTGAAGCGCCGTTGTGTGTACCGTTTGCTACGCTCTTCTAGTGACTTTAAGAATTTTACTCTGTAAACCTGATGCGATCTGGCGGCACTTCTTTTAGCCACTATGCTCTAAAAGTTTGGAACTGTCTCCCTCTTGAAGTGAAAGAATCCCCTAGTACTCATGTTTTTAAAAAGCGTGTTAAGACATCTTTTTAAAATTGATTATGAATACACAAGCTTTAAAGGTGTATGCATTTTATCTATATTGTTGTAGGTTTATGTGTGTATGAGTGGTGTGTGCTTGCATATATAAGGACTATTGTGTGCGTGATCATGTGGATATATGCTTATATTTTATGTACATGAATGCTTTTATTTGAGTATATGTGACAAGTTTTTGTGGTTTATTTTAATGCTTTTTTGTTGTTGTTTGTGAGGCACTTTGAGTTGCGTGTATGTTGAAAAATGCTATACAAATAAAATGTATTATTATTATTATTATTACCCTGATAGAAACCTATGTTAAGAATTCTATAATGCATGACGCTGCGTGGCCGAGCGGCGCTTCTGATGTGCGACCTGCAGGCAAGTTTGTTATTTTATTTCCAATGGAGCGACACTCACGTGAGGCAACGCGCTCGCACTTTCCAGCTGCACCTAGTAAAGATCACACTCACAGGAAGCTTCTGTGACCGCGAGAAATACAAATGGCTGACGCAATGAAAAATGTACATGTTTGCAAACCTGCCTACAAACAAAGTAAGTTACAAACAATAATTCCGAAAACAATAAGCCCAATGAGCTTTACATCTAAAAATAGAGCAAGGGTGCGTCCGAACTGCCTACTACTCAGTGGGTACTGCATTTGAATTTAAACGTACTACTCAGCCGTTAGAAAAGTACATTCTATACAGGATGAATGTGAAAAGTATGAATGAAATTCGGACGTACTACATCCGCCATTTTGACATAGTCATGTGACGTACCTGCGTAATTTGTGTCGCTTTACTCCAATTCATGAATTTGCTCGCAGGGCATCATGGGATAGCATAGCGTGCATGGGATGCGCTTGCCAGAATCTCGCCGGAAGAAGTAAGTCATCCGGGTACTTCTAGCATACTGTTTTTCGAATTCTATAGCTGCGTCCCAAATGGCACACTATACACTATGCACTCATGCACTATGTACTTATGCACTTACACACTCAACAGGAAAGTATATGTATGTAGTGTTGTCCCAAATGGCACACTAATGTTTTTTTAATAAGCGGAAATTCAAACCGTTTCCCTGATGACGTTTGACGGTTGCCAAATCATTGAAATAAATGACCAAACTATCAAATAAAACCTGCCGTAAGTGTTGCCGCATTCACCATCGGGAGGCGCTATAATCACTCTCGTAGGAGAATTTTGCTCTCACCATCCAAAATAAATAAAGTTATTCAACATGTGCGCCCGATAGCTCCGCCCCTTCCGCTACATGAGCAAAGCTGCGGTCGTTGAGTGCGTGAAGTGTCCATCATTCCACACTTCATTTTAGCGGCTGAATGAGTGCATCATCCGGGTAATTGAAGTGCTCTTATAATTTTTAGTGTTTTCAGTGTGAACACACTACTTACACTATTTATACTACAAAATGGCGTAGAATAGTGCATAAGTATGCGATTTGGGACGCAGCTTATGAATTCGAACATACTACTCGGCTCACATACTGATTTTAGCGTACTATATGGTATGGAAGTATACGGTTTCGGACGCAGCCCAAGGGTGTTCCTTTAGTGACATCGCTTTGACTCGGTAAAGTCTAGATCGGATATGTGGCCGGCCGGATTTGCGATATGCACATTAATAAAGCAGCATTTTTATGACACTGTATAACAATAATTAATATTTTTACAGTACTGTGAGGGTTGGGTTTTAGGGTTGGGATGGGGGTAGGCGGAAAAAATAAATTTTATTGGGTAATTTAATAGATAACATAACTAATACTCTGTACAACAACTGATTTTACATTACTGTGACGGTTGGGTTTAGGGTTGGGGTGGGGGTAGATGTTAATAAAATACAACAAATGAGAAATTTAATAAATAATAGAAATAATTCTCGTTAACTTCCGGCCCCAAACGTATCCGCTCTAGCAACAACCCTTTGACTCACATGCTGAAAATGGCAGACCTGAAATAACTGAGGATATGGTAATGCGCGCCTGTCAATCAATATTGGTGGGCGGGGGGACCGCAATCCTGAGTCAAGTTGCGGTCGACAAATTGGTCCACCGTTTTTATGTTGTTAAATTGGAAAAAAAGGACTGCGTGTGTTTATATCGCCCTAATAAGTTGGTCTATACGGTATACCTGCACATGTGTCTGTCCAAACAACTTGAAAAGTAAATTTTTCACCATTGGTGCGCTTTAAATCCATGCGAAATATTGAGGGAAAAATTACAAGCAAAAATTACAACATTTTCCCCTAATATATTAATTTGGGTGTACTTATTTTGGACTGTTTTCATAAGTTATTTATTAGATTAACTCCGGATTTGGCTTCAGTACTGACTAGTCTAATGTATATGCACACATATAATATTATAAAGCTTCCTATAGGGAATATTTATTTAAATAAGATATTTTGTGAGGGGTGTACTCATATATGTTCAGCACTGTACATTAAATCCTTCATTTTTGTTCATGTATGTCACTTCAAGAGCACTGGGAATCCACCTTCAGGCTGAAACGGATCCGCTGTTTGCTTTTAGTCCAGCATTTCGGGAGCAAATTGTGATCCAGTCCACCACAGCAGACCTCCAGAGACCCCCATGATCAAGACCACCGCTGCAGCTTTGAGTACAGCTCTGGGATGTCGTGTGAAGTCGCTGGGTCCCATCGCTGCCAGTAGTGCGGTGGTGACTGTTAGCGTGAACGCGATGGAAATGGCCGTGTTGATAGCCACGATTTGACCGAATTTAGCGAAAGGCACGATGACACAAAAAAACAGAGGAATGGTTGAAATCACCGTGGTGACGGCACTGGAAACGATGGCGACTCCAACGTGATTGGCTGCTTCCAGGGTCCGAATCTGCCGTTTAATGGAGGGATCCTGCAAGCCATAAACAGAGCTGGATTCAGATTAACATTCACCTCATGTGAGCAAACACAATCGCCTTGCCATGTTTGTTTCTGCTTCACAACACTTTCACATGTGGTATATCCACACAGATTTTTTTAATTGTCAGTCAGTAAAATTGAATATCTGATTTCGTTAAAAATCTGTGATCTTCAATGCCTGATTGATATACGATATAAAGTGTGTGTCAGACCGGACAAAAATCACTGCAATAAGGAAATTTATTTACCCCAGTATTTTCAAATGAAGCTAAAGGAACATTATGAAGTTAAAAACAGTCACATTAACCTTTAACCGAAAGATTATAGTTGGCTGAAAAACACTAGCTGTACATACTGTATATATGCCACTGACTGATGGTAACACTACTATCCTTTAAAGAAAGCATTGTGAATAATGTTTAGCAACCCTGTCAGCAATTAAAGGCACAACACTTGAGAGATGTAAAGCTTGAGGAACCGCTGAATGTAGGATCAGATGTGTTTGTCTAATCAGTATGCTGACATTTCTGCTAGTCAGTGAGTTTGTGTTCAGAAACAGCGGGTTTTCTGCTGAACGCTGCAGTGATCGTGTTCACACTGTTTTGTTTTTTTTTCGTTGAGCCAAAGGTCTTTTGATGAAAATATCTGTAATATTCTAGCCAGTTAGTCTAGCTTGGTGTTTTTGACATAAAATGCAATACTAGAGAAAAGTTGTAAATATTTCACAACATATAGTTGGTCAGAATTATTAGCCCCCCCGTATATTTTTTTCCCCAACACATTTCTAAACATAATAGTTTTAATAACTAATTTCTCATAACTGATTTCTTTTATCTTTGCCATGAAGACATGATTTGACTAGATGTTTTAGATACTATTATTCAGCTTAAAGTGACATTTAAAGGCTAAACTACATAGGTTAATTAAGCAAGTTAGGGCAAATAATTGTATAAAAAGGGTTTGTCCTGTCGACATCAAAAAAAAATATTGCTTAAGGGGGCTAATAATATTGACCTGAAAATGTTTGTTTGTTTTTTTTAAATAGAAAGCTGATTTTATTCTAGCTGAAATAAACTAATTAAGACTTTCTCAAGAAGAAAGGATATTATAGGAAATACTGTTAAAAATTCCTTGCTGTTAAACATAATTTGGGAAATATTTGAAAAAGAAATGTACAGGAGGGCAAATAATTTTGACCAACCATATGAAAACATTTCAGAACATATGGAAAAAAACTGACCTTTTGAGATCAAATTATGCCAAAGTAAATTAATTTTAACCAATCACTGCCATACAAAAAACGACCTGCAGTTGAACTTGCTTTTGTTTGAGTTTTTTTGTCTTAGGAAGTTGCTGTTTTATCCGGGGGCAGCTTATGGTATACCAATATAAATGAGTTCCCTGGAGCATGCCATGATTCAGTGCCTTGCTCTAGGGCATAATAGTGGAAGGAAATCCCAGCGTCTGAACAGTTCAAGTGATGTGCCTAAACTGAGATCCAATCGATCCTAAGGGTTATGTGCGCAGAGTACTAATAATGAGATGCTCAGGGATGCAAACATAATGTAACAACATACAGTATAACGTAACATAAAATAACATAACACAACATAACATCATAACATAACATAACATATAACATAACAACATATAATATAACATAACATAGCATAACATAACATGAGAACGCAACATATAACAACTTATAACATGACTTATGACAACATATAACATAGCATAACACAAATAAAACATAACATAACATATAAAATATCATATAACATAAAATAACACAACATAACATCATAACATAGCATAATATAACATAACATATAACATAACACGACATAACATAACAAAAAATAACACATAACATAGCATAGCATAACATAAAACATA